AGTCACGGGAGCTCACTCCGTTACGCGGCGCTGGGGATTCGAACTGCCGACCTTTCTGATCAACAAGCTCAGCGCTTCAGCCACTGAGCCACCCCGTCCCTCAACTTCTCCATTTCTAAACCAAACTTCCTGACTGCCCGTCTGCCCGGCCCCCTGGCCTCAACGCCCTGCGTCCGAGAGACACGTCCCGTCCCACCGACCTCCAGCCAAGGACCCACCTCTTTAAGACTGATCATGGCCGTGTAGATGATGTTTGTCCCGTCGCGCCGGAAGTGGCCGTGTGGCTTGTCCTTCAGGACGAAGACGATGTCGGCCGGGATGTTTTCGGGGGTGGCGTCTCCCTCCTTGGGGAAGGTGATCTTGGTGCCTTCCTTCCAGCCCCGCTTGATGATGATGTTCAGGATCTTGTCCTCTGTCCGCATCGTTCGCCCGTCCGGGTTCAGCCGCCGGCGGGTGATCTTCATCCGCTTGGTGGCCCCGTGGTAGATCTCCTCCAGAGAAACCTTCAGCTCGTGGACCACGGGAGGATCCTGCACCTTCCGGCGCATGTGGATGGGCTCCGGGTGCCGCCGGTGGACCCCGTTCAGGCCGTTGAAACCGAAGCGGCTGAACGCGCTGAAGGGGTCGTCGCTGTCGTCGTCCACATCCATGTCCTCGTGGTCGAAGCCGTTGAAGACCCTGGACCGGCTGCTGCTGAAGAAGATGTCGAAGGGGTTGGAGCCCCCAAAGAAGGAGGCGAACGTGGCGTGGGGGTCTCCGTGGAAGGTGTAGTGGAAGGTGTTGCCAGAAGGGCCAGAGGGACCCCCACCCGTTTTGAGTCCTGAAAGAGAACCAAAGGGAGGAACCGTCAGAGAGGCTGCCTCGACCGGTGGCAAGAAAAGCCACAGTGGCCCTTGGCCACCAACAGTCCGCACCATCCAGGAGGGGGGGGGGCAGAAGCAGGGGCCCAGCCTCAACTCTGCCCTGCTCCAGCCCCAGAACCTGCTGTGCCCCTCGACTACCAAGTCCCACAACCGGCCTCTCGGCCACCAGCAGGAAAATGGGGATTGCACACCCAACAAAATAGCAGTTAGACTTATATACCGCTTCATAGGGCTTTCAGCCCTCTCTAAGCGGTTTACAGAGTCAGCATATCGCCCCCACAATCTGGGTCCTACCCACCTCGGAAGGATGGAAGGCTGAGTCAACCTTGAGCCGGTGAGATTTGAACCGCTGAA